AGCAATTAGTTTTGCCTAAGAGACAGAGGGAGAGAGAGAGAGAGGGAGAGAGAGAGAGAGGAAGAGACACAGAGAGAGAGAGAGAGAGAGAGAGGGCTTACAGAGCAAAATAGCTGATGTAAAGTCACATATGAGTGATATGAAAACCTTTGATTGAGTTCCACGAAAGATTTCCCTGAATGATTTCCTTATCAACTACTTAGAAATTCTCTTTAATCTCTGCTTGAACGGGACGGGCGTTGAGTTACTTCAGCTGAAGGAAAACACACAGATTTGATGTTGAGTCTCATGGAACTTCTATGAAATACTTTGAGTTCCTTGAATGACTTCTTTAGTCTTGAACTAAGGAATGGTAGTAATATAAATGTTAATGGTAGTAATATCCATGTAAAAAATTCTATAATTCAACAAGATCTATAGTATATATATATATATATATAAATAATGAAAAGTCGTATATGTGTGAATTATATCAAATTATTTGATTGAGTTTCGTAAGAGCAAAGAAAATTTCCTTAGACTGTGGATGGTAAGCAACAGAGAGATTCCTTTGGCTTGTAAATATCTAATCTATTTCTACCGAAATCTATATCTATAATGAAATCGCCTATGAATGATGACTGATGACTGATATGAAACCTTTGAATTGAGCTACTTGAAGTAGGGATAGCCTAGGAAAGTTTTCTTTCGGATGGAAAGTGTCAAAAGTGCCACGAGTTAGGGATGATAGAAAACTATTCAGCTGGCAAATGTATCTAATTAACTATAACTAAGTAGCTATATCTTGGTATATACATCTTCATATATGTATACATTCCTTTATAACAACCTCCTCGCAGTTGTTTAGCCAGCAACTAGAACTCAATAAGCAGCTCAGTCCAGGCCAGGCCAGGCCAGGCGAGCTCGGGCAAGTGCTAAAGTATTAGGCGAGTGGTCTATGCCCATATGATTTGGCAATTGGCTGGGCGAGTGCCGAGCAGCAGCAGCAGCAGCAGCAGCAGCAGCAGAAGCAGGAGCAGCAGGAGCAGCAGCAGCAGCAGCAGCCATAATAATAATGTCATTAGTATGCCTACAATGCTGATTAGTATGGCGGGGAGACAAAAACAATGCCGGGCCAGCAACAAACAAGTCTAAATTATGTGGTCGCATGTCGAGCTGCGGATGTGGATGCGGATGTGGATGGGGATGGGGATGCGGATGGGGATGGAAATGTCGATGGTCTGGGCCATTTGAATGGGGTGCCAGCGACAGGAAATGACACTCTTGCTCTTTGTTGTTTGGCCATGGCCATGCCACGCCCAGGGGCCGTGGGTTAGCCCCGGGCGCATAGGCCGAGCCACGGGTTATCCGCAGTATTTTTCGATTTTCGCATGGATTGCGTGCGGCCGTCGCATATTCAAAATCATCGCTCAAGCGAAAGTGAAATTAATTACACGACTTCAGCTCGGCTGGGAATTGTGTGTTCGAGCTCTTGGCATTGTTGCCTTCTCTTCATCTTCATCTTCATCTACGTCTTCATCTGCTCCTTCTTCGTCTTCTGCTTTGACTGTTACTGCTTATTCGTCTTCTTCTACTTCTAATGGCCATTTGCTGTAGTAATTAATGAAAAAGGCAACCAAAACACTCACACACACACATACACACGCACACACACACACAGAGTCAAGTGCAGCTCTGTATTGGGTCTGTTGGCTCTCGCTTTGGCCTTTCCTTGGGCCACTTGTGATTTGCTCTAGCTCTTCTTCTTCTTCTTCGTCGCTCGCTTTTGCGTATTGCGCCAAAATTTCATTAGAGCCAACAATTTGCTCATTTCTTTATTTGAACCAGGCCCTGCCGCTGGCTCCCATGCTGGCCATGGCCAACGGCCCCGGCTACTGGCAGCTGGCAGCTGGCACGGATTTTGAGTGGCACGTCTCTGTGGCAGCCACAACACGGCATCTGCACTATCTTGCGGCATCTGCATGTGAGTCGCAACAAGACACAAATAAAAGCACTCCACGCCCGAGCAGGAGACGGCGGCACGCACATCTCGACACGTTTACGATCGTATTATGCGCCCATTTGACTAGACATTCTGACACGCGGATGCTCTGGAATTAACTAGATATACATATATGTATAGATAAATGTACACACATACATACATACATGTATATACATACATGTGCATGTATTACTTTTGTATTAGATTCCGTTCCAAGCCGTGCAAACATTCTGTGCGTCGTTCAATAATTGGAAATGAAAAAATATTCTACTTCAAAAAGGAAAAACAAGGAAGAAAATCAAAAGCTATTTTTGATGGAAATGAATGTCAACAAAGCAAATAGATAGTCTATTATTTTTCTAGGTTCTTAGTATGTTATCAACTATATAAAAATACTCTGTGGAAAGCGAACAGAAGGGCATATTAGTTGTGCGAAAAAAAGATCGATGGAAAGGAGAGAGGGAGTGATGTAGAGAGTGAGAGAAAGAGATGAAATGGGAGAGGAAAGTGAAAGATAGAGACAGTGAGAGAGGAGATGGAGGTGAGAGACAGAGAGAGAGAGAGAGAGGGTGAGAGAGAGAGAGATAGACAGAGACAAATTGAGAGAGAGATAGAGAGATAGAGAGAGAGCGACAGAGAGAGAGAGAGAGAGAGATAGAAATATGAGAAATTTTCTCAGTCCTCTCTTTTCCTCCATCACTCTATTAAAATAAAATGTGCTGAAATTAGATTATTTTCTTAATTTATTTTCCCGATTTACTATACTATAGTACACACACACACACATGCATAAGCAAACTCCATCAATTGAAATCTTGGGCAATTCTTTCAACAATTTTCCATTATATTTCCAATGCCAGCTGCTTCTTCCATTCTTCCAGTTCCAAGGGGCCCTCAGTGGTTAGTGCTAATTTATATCACTCCGAATTATCTGCGAAATCAGCGGACAATCGACTGCGGCTCATTTGCTTTCGAGTGCTGAGACTCGCTGCACTAGGGCTGGGGGATGGGTGTGGGCGTGGCTGCTGCTCGGGCTAGAGCAGCAGCTGGCTGGACGAAATGGGAAACACGTTGCCATTAGGTGCTCACTCGATGCTCTCGGCCTGATTAGAGCACAATGAGCCAGCTCTTAATTATGGGCCAACGCCTAAGCAGGCTTTAATCAGCGCCAATTGGCAAATACAAAAGCGCAAATTGTAAAGTGTGTGTGGCGCTCTGTGGAGGGGAGAAGGGAGAGAGAGAGAGAGAGAGAGAGAGAGAGCTGGGTGCGGGGAGGACAAATGGACGTAGCCAGGGCACCCTTCATCTTCCTGCTTCTCATCTTCTTCTTCTTCTTCCTCTTCTTCCGCTTCCATCCATGCCTCAGCCGAGTTGAAAGCAGCCAAGACAGTTAGTTCAGTTGGCTCGAATGGCTGGGCCGCGACACATAAAAACCTTTTGCTAACTTAATTAAATTATACAATTTTCGTTCGGCGCTTTTTGTAGAATAATTGGCAATAAATTGATTAAAGGGTAATTAAACGTGCGGGGGCCGGCCAACTACAGAGATGGATAGATAATTGCATTGGCGCAAAAGGCAGCATTAAATAAAGCGAACTCTCTCGCTCACTCACTCCACCTGTCCTTCTCTCTCTCTCCACCTCTCTCTCTCTCTCTTTCTCTTTCGCTGTCTCGCTCGCAGTGCGCTGCGATTTAAATGCAATTGCAATTAAACATGCGTGCAACGCAGCAGGAGGCGCCTCCAGCTGTGCCCACGTTGCTTCCTGCCAATATTATTAATATTTAAAGTAAATCGCCCACAGCAATCGATCAATCAAGCGCAATAACAATAACCTTTCTCCCCTCTCCCCTCCTCTTTCGCATTCTCTTGTTATTCGTCTTCTCTTTTGATTTTCTTTTTTGTTTTTCTGTAAACCAATTACACATTTTACAATTAATTTTAGTTGTTTATTAAATAAACGAAGCCCTTGTATGGCGATGCGGGGTATTTAAGCAGGTGGATATATGAATACATGCAAGTGTGTATGTATGCATGTGTTATATGTGCTACTGTTATATGTGTGTGTAATTAATATTATAAAACTCAAGTTTACACGCTAAATGAGCAAGCTGAGATGGTGGGAGTTATATATATTTACTAAGACTATACATACATATGCATCACACACATACATGCACATGTAGGTAGATATATAAAATAAGTATATGAGCATCATTGCTCCCATATAACAGTTGACCATCGTTGACGTGCTGTTCGTGAAATTGAGTGAGAATATCATATTCACTCTCTTTCACTCTGAGCAGGACACTGTTAAAAGACACACGCTCTCCACACTCAATCGTGGAGCTAAAGAGTTCAGTTCTTTTCGTCTATGTTAACTGTGGTTGAACTATTCAAGCGATGAGGCTCGCTCAACGAACGCTATTTGTGGAGAGATATGTACGATTAATGTTCACATTTGCTCGCATGTAACTCAAAAAGCAATGTAAACGCTCTCCACTCACGTTCACTTGCAAATCCACACACAGTTAGCGAAGACAACAACCGCTCACATACCAATGCATAGACAAAAGACTTTTTGCTTCATTTCACTCAACCAAGCAGAAGGCGAATAACTAGAGGGGAAGCGAACAACAACAAAACGGTAACGAGCCGATCGCAAGAGCCGTTGAAATCGGCTGTTCGCTCTGAGTCATTTCGCAGAGTGTGAGTGAGTAAGAGGCACTAACGTCTGTGCTTATGTACGTACATATTTACAGACATAGCGAAACGGTCAACGGTTATTTGAGAGATGTGCTGAGCATAAGACTTTGAGTCACACGGTTCGTAAATGAAGATGACTTTCAAAACTTGCTTAAATAAATAAATACATAAATATTTCTATATATAATTATAGTCTTTATGTTAATATATCTTATATTAATATTACATTATGCTTATACTAATAGTAGTAGTCTACATTACTCTAATGTTAATTGCTTCACTTATATTTCCCTTTTCGCATTTGCAGAATGTGGCAAACATGCAGCGGAAGCCTTGCGTTGGCGTGCAGCGTGCGGCGTGCTCTACGCTTCTAGGTGAGCCCCACTAGGGCGACAGAGCGAGCGGTCGAGGCGTGGCCAGCAGCGGCATGATGGCTGCCCTTGCCTCAGCAGCCGGCGTCGCTGTGGTTCTGCCGGCAGCGACAGCGGCAGCTGCTGCGGCAGCAACAACCGTGCGAGCAACAGTTGCCAGAGCGACAGCGACAGCAACAACAACAGCTACAGCAACAACAAAAACAATAACAACAACAACATCGCTGGCGGGCAAGTTGCTTGGCCATGTGCACAATCGCACGACCGAATTGAATGTGGAAGGCGTGGCAGAGGCGGAGCCTCGCGACGAGCCGGATGGGCTGGGGATATTGAGTGGGAGTGGGAGCGACAACGAGAGCCTGGACATGGGCATGGGCATCGGCAGCACCTCGACGCCCAGCAGCTATCTCTCCCTGTACGACGAGGTGGCCAGCGCCCTGGACGAGACGCAGGCGGCCGAGGACGCCGGCTATGCGCTGATTGATGACATCAGCGAGTGGCTGCTGGGCGCCGCCGCCGCCGGCGGCAACAATCTCAGCCTGAGCAGCGAGCTGACATCGTCGAGCCCCACCGGCAGCAGTGTCAGCAGCAGCTTCAACGAGTCCCTCAGCTGGCTGACCCTGGACATGGCCGATGTACAGAACAGCACGCTGTCCAGCCTCAGCAATGCCAACAGCAGCAGCAGCGCGAGCAGCGGCGGCAGCAGCGGCGGCAGCAGCAGTAGAGGCAGCCATCTCGAAGGCAATGGCGAGGACGAGGCGGGCGGAATCTATGCGCTGCGTAATTTTGTGGAGCAGCAGCTGAATGGGGAGTCGGCGCAGGATGCGCAGGATATCGCGCTCATCGACAGCGCCGAGGAGAGCGCGCTCGAGAATGTCGCCGACGGCGAGGCGGACTACGGCGTGCTGAGCGGCTTCGGTGGCGGCAGCCTGGACGCGGAAGTGGATGCCACCAGCGAGCTCCTGCGGCGCACAGCGACAACGCTAACAAATCGGACGACAGTCGCCTCCGGCTACGATGCGAACGCCGTCTGGCTGAGTGGCGCTGGCGCCCAGGCAGCCGGTGCTGCGGGTGGCGTTGCCGGAGAGCGCAGTGTCGGCGGCGATGGCGGTGCTGGCGCCAGCAACGGCGGCAGCTCCTTCATGCTGCTGCTCGAGAACTTTAACGATTACTTTCCCAACTACAATGGCAGCACGGTTTCGGGCACAACGGTCGTCGGCGCGACCAGTACGGCCAGTACGGGCCTCCTCGACCAGAACCTGACCAGCCTGTACTTTGAGAACTATCGCACCAATTGCACGAATGCAACGCTGAATCTGACAACGGAATCGTGCCATGAACTGCGAATCGGTGAGTACTAGAGGAATACTTGCGATAGAGATGAACGTAGTCCGATTGGACTTAGCAATCGATAGCTAAAGCTCGATAGCTGGCTGGCAATCATTGAGCCTGCTCCATCTGAGGCTCTACTCTGTAGACACTTGGCCTGCGTATATATAGACAGTCCATCTACCAAGTCTTTATATTCTTTGAAGATCTTCATGAGATTAAAGAACCTAGACAGAAATACCCTCCATTCCATCCAATTCAATGGAGCAAGAAGCATTTGTATAAATGGATAAGCTGCCTGTTGAATGAGCTCAAGAACTTTTGCTGTCCATTACTATCGATTATTATCGATAATAATCCTCGCTTCTCTATGCCAGCATAACATGCTAATACATCCATACATCTCTCTAATATCTCTCAGCTCAGAATACTTTGAACTGTTTCAACATGAAGTCAAATGAAGTTGAATTTCAGCTTTGCCTTCAGACTTTAATATCGAAAATAAAAATCGATAGATTTCGATTTGCACAACAACAGAAAAAGTGTTTGTAAATTCGTTTTGCCTTCTAGCACTCTCTCAGCCCTTGGGCTCTGCTCTTTACCCGTTATACGGTACACAGCAGGCATCATGCCCTCACAGCTCGCTCGAGTGTGCGGAATACATTTGCGGCCCCCACATGGAGCCGTGGGCCGCATACGTTTGCATAACATTAGCACGCCCCGTCTGTTGCTGCTTGCTAACGTATTCTAATAATTGTTTCTCTCTTCTCTTGCAGTGGACCACAATTATTGGGCGCTCATCCTGATCCTGTTTCCGATCCTGACGCTCTTCGGCAACATTCTCGTCATCCTCTCCGTCTGCCGGGAGCGATCGCTGCAGACAGTTACGAATTATTTTATAGTATCATTGGCCATTGCTGATCTGCTGGTCGCCGTAGTCGTAATGCCGTTCGCCGTCTACTTTCTGGTAAGTGTCCTCGCCGCACTCCCGATTCCTGTCAAAATGCAAAATTGCCCTCCATTTGCGTTTAATTTTATCAAGTGTCTGGGGGCCATCTAATAAATAAACGTGCACATAAATAACGGTCAGCACGGCGAGCTTGCTTAACGTAGTGATAAGGGGTCGGGGCGCTTGGAGGGGCCGTGGGGCGTGGCGAGGCTTTTTAGTAAATTGCGGCCATTCAAGCAATAACATTCAATTTTTGGCGGCCCGGGCTTATAAATCAATGTATGCATGTGTGCGCACAGCCCAACAAAAAAAGTACGGCAAAACGAGAGAGAGAGAGAGAGAGAGAGAAGGAGCTAGCCTTGGCCCGGCTGCCTGCACGCATTTCCTTTGACTTAAGTCGATGTAGCTGTCATTCCGAATGATTGATTGTTCGATTGACTGACTGACTGCCTTCCCGGCCTATCGCTGTTCGTCTGTCGTCGTCCTCATCCGTTCGCCTGCTGCGTCTGCTACCTGCTGCCAGACAGCACGCAGTCCTCTTCTTCCTCTTCTCCCATTGCCTCGTGCTCTGACAGATTAATAGATACTCCATTTCACGGAAAACAATTTTCCTATGCCCAAACTCTTTTTCCCATTATTAAGCGTTCCATTAGCTTTAAGAAATTTACAGCATCACATTTTTGTATGCATATTTAAATCAGCTTAGAGTTAGGTTTCAAGCTAAACAAAAAATGTACACCTGAGTTCAGAAACCAGAAGGTGATAAACAAAATACGAGCTGAGCTGAGCTGAGCGGATTGAGCGTCGATCTCGGGAGATATAAGAGCTAGAGACTTGATATTTTTATAAACCACTCGCATATAGATTTTGTTTCAAAAAAGCTATAGCTGTTATCGATAACAAGTCTTATCGAAAATCAATAATATAATTATATCTTCTCCAAAAATTAAGCAAAGATTCATGTGTATTTTATAGAATTTCACGTTTTGCTATAATACATATACACATAACCACACATACACACACACACACACACACACACACACACACACACACATCCACAAGTCCCCACCCTTCCTCCTAAAGTTTTTTGTTGAAATGCTATCCAAAATTATACAGTAAAATATCTTTAAAAAAAAAGTTTTTATTTTATTATTTTTCAATTATATTTTTTCAGGTATTTTTAATAATATTTTATTTTTATTAATGATTTTTATACACATATTTTCGGCATGAAATTACCATTTTGGCTTTCTTTCATTTTTTCATAATTTATTCATGAATAATGTATTCATGAATATCGATAGGCCAAATTATCGACTGCTGCCACTATCGATTGTAATGCAATTTGACACCTACTCGCAACCCCCCTCAATTGTATGCATGTGTGTGTATATTTATTTAAATGAATTGCCCTATTGCCCTATTGACCCGCCCAATCAGTCCTCATGCAGACAGTGACTGGGCGGAGCTGTTGCATTCAAATCGTATTTCTAGAGCTGCCAGACTTGATGCAATTCATTTTAATAACTAGGGACAACATTTTCTGCCAGCTGTCAGTGGGTAGAGAGAGAGAGAGTGAGAGAGAGAGGGGGGTAGGGGGCAGACAGGTGGCCAGCCTGTGCCATGCGACATGTGCGTACGTGCACGCATGCAGACGCCGACAGCGAGCCAGACGCATGCGAACGTGACACATGTACACATGTGCACTTAGTTATGCATATTGGAATCTGCATATTTAATTGCTGGCAGCTTTTGTGACAGGGCCAGCTCAGCGTTTGTCATGTTGGCCACAATTAAGTGTGTGTTTATTTAATGCCTGCCTGCCTGCCTGCCTGCCGTGTGGCTGGCCGTAAATAAAACGATAAATTATATGGCAAATAAAATCAAATAAATATTGCAATTTGCAATTCGCGATTCGCAACATTTAAAGTGAAAAAAAAAAGAAATAAAAAATAAACCTAACTGTCGTCCGGCGTAATTAAAATACGGCAAACTCGAATGGAATTAACAAAAATCTTAGCGCTCAGCTCTCAGCGACCAGCTGACAGATGTACTCGCCCAGGAGGAGGGCGGGGGGCGTGGCTGAACAGCTAGTAGCTGCCAGCACGTTGGCTATAATTAATGGGCAAACTTTAAACATGACACGCCGAAAAAACGTCGAAGCCGAAAAGAAAATAGTGCAGAGAGTCCGAAAAACTCTTGCATAATTCAGCTGAAGCGAAATATAAACTTTTGCAGCATTAAAATAAAAATATATATTATATAACATTTTGTTTATCAAGCTCAAGGATCTGATAATTTCGCTTTGCAGTTGATGAAAAATTAATAGCAGAAGGAAAGAGATGCAAGACTAGACTGAGAGATGAAGGGAACGTGAGAGGGAGGAAGAGAGGAAAAGCTAGAAAGGTAGAGAAAGAGGTGAAGAGAAAGGAAGAGATAGATAAAGAGAAAAACTGAGAGAGAGATAATAGTTATAGAGATAAAGATGGATAGATAGAGATTGAGAAACAGAGAGAGAGAGAGAGAGAGAAAGAGAGAGATAATAGTTATAGAGATAGAGATGGACAGATAGAGATTGAGAAACAGAGAGAGAGAGAGAAAAAGAGAGATAATAGTTATAGAGATAGTGATGGATAGATACAGATTGAGAAACAGAGAGAGAAAGAGAGGTGATAGAAGCAGCAGAAAAAATGCAAGCTAGACCAGATAGAAAAGCTAGATAATAAACATATAGAGAAAGAGAGTAAAGTATAGTAGAGAGAGTAAACAGCTAAACAGAAAGAGAGAGAGAGAGAGAGGAGAGAACATAGCAAACATAGAAGAGAGAGAATCGGAGAGAGAGGGAGATATAGTAAACAGTCATTTCACTATATGTTAAACAGAGAGAGAGAGAGACAGAGAGGTAGAGGTAGAGAGAGATTGAGATGGTGAGAGACAGAGAGAGAGAGAAGACGATGCAGAGGAGAGAGATATTTAGTAAGCGTATAGAAGAGAGAGAAAAGGAGAGAGATAGTATAAAGTTCAATAGTTAAACAGAGAGGAAGAGAGAGAGAGATAGAGATAGAGATAGAAGAGAGACAGTAAATAGTTGGGCAGAGTTATAAAAAGAAGCAGAAACATATAGAGTCCTAAGTGCTAAATGGAAATATAATCTGAGAGGGATACGCAAAGGAATAATAGATACCAATAAATAGCAAGTATATCGGAAGCGAGATAGAGATATGTGATATGAGAGTGACACGTAATTAGAGTTGATGAGAGGAGAGATATACACATACATGGATAGAGTATATTACAAATTGCATAAGAGCTTAGCGAGGCAGATATCAGTGGATACATCAACAAAATGACAGTAATGACAGCGATAATAACAATTAACCAAACACAGAACGAAGACATTGACAGGCATATATAGAATGAGAGAGAGAGAGAGAGATAGAGAGTGGGAGGTAGAGAGAGCGAGAGCGAACGACAGGTCGAGGCAGGAGCTGTTAATCACATTCATTTAACCATAAACGTTTGAGTTCTGCCCCATATGCCGCCTGCCATTGACAAGCCACTAATATTTAAGGCCAAGCCGAGCACACACACACACACACACACACACACACACACACGCACACCTGAGCTCGCATAGTCTTTCAGTCAACGACAATGACAGCTCATTTAATTTCAATTTGATCATTAAATTGACACTCAGCCACAGCTGGCTGTCAATCGGCTGCCTGCTGTGTGTTGATTTTCTAATACCAAAAGGGCACACACACACACACACACACAGAGAGTGAGAGAGTGTCTCACATAGAGGAAAATTAACTTGTCATTAAATGCGCTTTGGCTTCGCTTCGGTTCGCTTCTGTGACTGCGCCGTCGACAGCGCTGCACTGGTCCGTATGCATGTGTCAGGTGCTAATTAAGCTGTACACACACACACACACCTGCACAGCGAGTCATGTTGGCGTGTCAGGTGCAGCACACTGTATCAATTATAGCGTTTAACAACCTGCAACAACTACAACAAGTGCCACAGCACAGATCCAGAGAACATTCAGAGAACATTCGCTCAGCATTCGTTGGACATGGCTGCCAGGCATTGCTGCCAAAGTGTTACAGCCAGCTGCAGTTGCCAAATACACATTACACAACCACACTAACACACACACACACACACACACACACATTGACAAGTGTGTCAAATATCCGCGGGCGTGTCACAATCGAGCAAATATGCACTCAACTCCTTCGCGCATTCATGCATGCACAATGCAAATGCAATGCAGAGACTTATCGATTTTCATAATGAAATTCAATTATTCAAATATTGCATATGCCAAATGCTTTAATAACTGCAATTTTATGAGCTAAATATTTGCCAAAGTGCGAAACAGAGAAAATTTAATCCCATTCCCATAATGATATATGCCTATAACTGTAATGGAATAAATAAGACATACGGCATATGCAGGCAATATTATTTAGCCAATTACAGTTTGTAACTATCGTATAGTAGTGTCGAAGGCCATGGAGCTGAGCGACTATCGAAGCATCAAATTTACATAGATCTTTTTGTGTTCCTATCGATGTCACTATAGGCTATCGAATGTTTACTTTCCCGTGTTACGGCCGATAGTTGTATGTCCTTATCGACAGACAAGAACAATGAAGCTGAGGCATTGTCGGGCTTTGAATTTGCAACATTCTATGCCACTATCGATAGTTTTATGCCATATCGATAGTCGCGAGCAATTGAGCTGCAAAGCGATTGATTGCACTATCGAATCATTGGGTGTTTTTTTTATCTATCTGCGTCACTATAGACAAAGGTAGCTTAGTCTCGAAAAAATGTAGTAGAACGATACTATCGATAGTTTAGAGTTGTTTTTTAATATCGAATGGTGCCTCCATTAAGCCGCGAAAAAACGACTTAAGAGATAGGAGAATAGTAGAAGGAGATTACACTGGACTATATCCATAGCCTGGCGCTGTCAGTATTTTGGAGTCGTCCAATAAGCTATAGAAGCTAAGGAAAGCACATGGTCATCCATATTCGACGAACCAATCTGGAAGTATTATATATTTTGGCAGGGATGCCAGATCGCTTATTGGCA